AAGTATTATCGACTGACTTGATAACGTAAATTGGTCACCATAAAGAGTTTAAAAGCTAACGCTTCGAGCGTCAGAGCGATTGACGAAGGGCTAACGCTAGAAATGTCGGTTTTTAAACTCTTTACGGTGGCTAATATACGTTATTAACTCAGTTGATAACAATTAATTACCCTGTTATACTCTCCCACCGACGTAGCACAACAGTTTCTTGAGAAACTTACCCCCTTTATTCGGTAACCTTTAATGGCCTGATCTTACGGATAATAACACCGTAGCGTATTAGCATTTCGCGACTAACCCCACAAAACCTTTCTAGAAGTTTGTTAATCGCTAACTATTTGAAATAAAACGTTATTAAGTGAACTGAGACTGTGATGAGTGGTAAAATACTCACTTGGGTGATAGCAAACTGGAACATTTACCCACTCTATGTGGGGTTTGAGTCCTCCCCAACTGACACAACAGCAGTCTAAGGAAAAAAAGGCCATATTTTGATTTAATCAATGTTCTCACAAGATAACGATTCACCAAAACAAAGAAAGGAAATCACTACCTTTGTGCACTGCAGCTAAAACCTTACCTTCAATGATCGACGTATTACATTGACATCGTACTCACGAGGCAAAAATTCCAACAGAAGTCGAGTTTACAAACCTATTTTATCATGAGTTCTGTCTTACATTCTATTTTAGAATGAATCTATCACCTCTCTATCACTAATTCTGCAATCTGACTAGCGACGCTATGATTATTTTCTATCCCAAAATAGACAGTGAGTTAAGTGAGACGCCTGTGCCTTAGTACACAAAATAAAACGGCATTATGGGCGTGTCTTTTTGTTAGATTTTGGACCAATGGAAGATTTTTATAAAAGCAAATGAATTACGCACTCTCGAGTTCTTTGCGCGATATATCTATTCGGGCCTCGTTCATCCAAACATATGGAGGCCACGCAGTTATGGAAAAGTATCAGTCTAAGGGAAATGGAGGGGGAAGAAAGAGAAAAAAGAGTTTGTTTTCCAAGACGTCCACATAAAGAATAAACACTCAAGTAACCAGAAATTGATTGTAGAAATGAAACGAAAATTGATCAGAGACTAAGCTGGCAGGAGATAAACTAGTTTGCTATTCACAAGTGCCGTCTAGGAAATGAACGGACAAGCCCCCGCCCGATGCTATTGCTGTTGATTTCCGATAACATCCTACAAAGAAATATCTTACCAGTTCCCTCTGCCCTGCCTCCCCCCTCACCACCACCTCCTCCACCTCCCATTCCCCCTCCTCCTCCCCTACCGCCACCTCTGCCTCCTGTGCCCCCTTGACCTTGACCTCCATTTCCTCCCTGACCACCATTTCCTCCCTGACCATCAATTCCACCTTGACCTCCAATCCCACCCGTGTTGCCTCCTTGGTTGCCTCCTTGGTTGCCTCCTTGGTTGCCACCTTGGTTGCCTCCTTGGTTGCCTCCTTGGTTGCCTCCTTGGTTTCCCTGATCAAAGAACCCTGGATCCCCTCTAAAGTCCACCCAATCATTTTGTTTTCGGGGTCTTTCATAATCGTCGTACTCTGGCGGTCCTGGTCCACGCAGCCTTCGACTCTTATGAGGATAAGGGTGACGACATCGACGTCTACGCCGGCGCCGACGTGGCACACAGGGGGCCTCAGGTTCTGAATCTAGTTCATCGCGGTCCAACTCATCTTCGTCATACGTATCGTCATCGGCGGCATCGTCTTCAGCAAGATCGTCATTAGGATCCTCGATGCCATTTGTAGAAGCAGCGTTGGTACTTCCTTGCGGAGAAGTTCCAACAGAAGGAGCTGAAACAGCAGGTTGCCCTGAAAGAGTTGACGCTTGTGCCGTAGTTCGCGTTATCGTGTTCACTGGCTGACCTGCAGGTTGAGTTTGAGCACCAGCCACCTGTCCTGCAGGTTGAGCCGCAGAAACCGTTGTAGCTGCAACAGGAACCGTTGAAACTGCAACAGGAACTGTTGAAACTACAGCAGGAACCGTTGAAACTGCAGCAGGAACTGTTGTAGCTTGTTGAAAAGGCGTTAGATTTTGCCTGATAGGTTGCCCTGTATTCAATCGATATTGGGCGCCCGGACCAGGCACGCCTGAATTTATGACACCTTGAATTTGCGGGCTCCTCTTTGCTAGGAAGTTCATATTTGCATAATTTGGACGAATTCTTCTGATCGATTTCACTTTTTGCAACATTTCAGAATTCTCTGAGAGTGCTCTCCATTGAAAACTGCTAAAAAGGAATGTCAAGAGCCATATGAAGTATGAAACACGTTGCATCTTGGTTTTTTCTTGCTTCCAAACCGCCACAACTGGAAAAGAAAAACCAGCACACTAGAGTCACTTCCTGATTCATTAAAATGAAACACTAAATGGATAAATCAGAATGACCATACAGGTAAGTGCGCTCTATCAAATTGTCCTTTTCCAATTGACGTCAACACGACGAGAAGGGATTTGAATGGGAGACTACCATATTTAACCTTCACTTTGAATGCTACTGAAGGGAAACTTGTTTCGATAGCTGTTGACGATTCTATCAATCATATAGTACTATAAATATTTTGTCCAACAAAGAACCTGTCTGTGTTCAGTATATGCAACAATCGATACAATTCATCCTCTTGGTATGGGCGCCCTAATTGAAAGGGGCCAAAGGTTTCAAAACCTAAGCTGAAAAACATTCCTTCCATATATCCACCGACATACATAATCCAACATTAAAGGATTCATAATCATACAAACAACCATCCATTATAAAGGCAGATGTGTGTAAAAGGAGCGCAAATACTTTTAATCAACATCTATCTAGCATTCAGTTTACTTAATTCAAGTGCACCTGTGGTAATTAGAGAAAATGCTATGGGTGACTAGCCTGTGCGCTACAGAAAAGTTGAAAATTCTCGAAGACTACATAACAAGCCGTTTACAAACACAGTTTAATAAAAAAAATGAGATTAGAGATTGAGGTTTGCTTTGAATCAGTTACAAAAGAGCTAGTCTTCCAATACTAACCTTGATCCAACCGAAAACCTACATCAGGGCTTGCCGTTTGGACAATTCATAGTCCGAGTTTCTTCATTATTCAATGTCTTCAATGTGATCTAATCAAATTCTTGTGCTTTCCCCTCTTTCAAATAAATGAAATTACGACCCAACCTTCTGTGATAAGGGAGATTAATAGGAAAAAAAATGAAGGGAAAAATCCCACAATCTTTTCGGTTGTTTTGATAAAATGTCTCTCACAGAAGTTAAAACAATTATAGAAGCTTACCTAACAATGTGATGAAATATTTATCACCAATTAACATCGAGAAAAGTGTGTCATTTCAACAAAAAAAATCTCCTGATTTTACCGAGCACGTTTAAATACTGTTTAGATAAATCTATTAGTTTTTGAAATTTATATTTAAGGCGAGATATTTAGCGCGAACCAATCTCTCTTGAACACTAAGCTACAGGCCACACCACTTCACCTGTATTCTTTGATATTTCAAAGTACTTGAAAGGGCATTTGCCACCCTAAATAGGGTCAACCACTAAAATGTCCACATTTGTGTAAACAGGCACGGCATCTGGTAACAAAGGTGATTATCTTCGCATTCAACAACATTCTCGGCCGCATGGTAAAGGTTGGAAGTTGTCGTAGAGATTTTGGTAAGAGACGGACCCAGTAAGACCAGTTAACACAACAAAGTTTAGCCGTTTTTAGCACAACTACGTTTTAATCCGTCTTCAACGAAATTCAACGTTTTATCTAAACCTAAATTTTTTAAAGATGGCTTAAATCTTGCAAAGTTCCTTACTTCCAAGACCCACTTGTGAAGAAATCTTGAGGTTCACCGATTGTCTTAAACTGTGGCCTTATTTAACTCCGTCAAACCTTTTTCCTCTTTCATCGGTCTACACATGCACTACACTGTTCTGCATACATCCTCTATAGTGGTAAAAAGACTTTCCTTAACAATTGGTGGTTACACTGTACGGAGAAATAAGATGCTCTTTAGAGCAGAAGATAAGTCTAATGCGACCTTCGACGGATCTGAGTACGTTCTTCACTAGCAAAAGCATAGAGGGTATTGTTTTGTTCAGAAAACAGTAGTTTCCTTGTTGTCACACATTTCTTCTCACATCTCAGTGGACGACTGCCGTGGGAAGCCAGGTGATTCTTTTGACGTGTTCTAGGTACTTAACCATGAAATGTGGCACGACAAAGGACGAGTGGGGGAAGGTTCTGGAAGTTTTCTCGTTCTTGGACGCATTCGCATCCCGGCTAACCAAGCAACTCGTTTAAAAACGAAGTCAACGCTTGAAACTTACTTGTTTTGTCAAGATTGTGGTCTTCGAACGTAAGCAATCATACCACGAAACCATGAAAGAACTGTCGTGAATTTAGAAAATAGTTTAGTTTTCTGCGCTCGCTTCATCTTCAAAGCATACATTCCAGTTTCAGAGATACACTAACAGGCTAGAATCTCCATGTTGCTGATTTTGACGCCCAGCACTATGGGCAATCTTCAAGCTCAACAACATAAAACACCAGAAGTGCGGTCGTTTCCCTCATCTTCACAACAAAGCCCCAAGCGAAGGTTAACCCTTTAAACCCTCAGAGTGACCAGCAGCTAATTTCTCCCTACAATATCACTCCTGAATCACACATTAAAGTCGTGAGAATAAAGGAAATGATCACAAAGGAAGAAACCTTTTGATTGACGAACAAATTCTCCTTGTCGGCACTATAGGGAAATGTATAAAGAACAGTGTGGGGAATATGCATACTGATGTTAGGGTGTAAAGGGTTAATAACATGAACTCTTTCAGCTTGAACATGTACGTCTGTTTCCTGCGCTCTTCGACTAAATTTCCGAAAATAGAGGAGAGCGAGTTTTTAGGGCAATTTAGGGAGATCAGTCGCACCAAAGCTAGAGATACCCAAACAGGTGGGCACCCCATCGACAATTATGAAAAATTACCACCATTCAACACAATCACGCCAGAAAAGACGCAGATCAAGGATTTAATTATTCCTAAAAATCATTTCCAATTTATTGCTGATCAAAATAAACTATTTTAGACATGCTGAGGAGAACCGAATTTGTCATGACCTGGCCAATGATGCACTCACCAAACCTCTGTGGGGCTAAAACAACAAGTGTACTTCAGGTGAAAACTAATCGATCTTGCGTGACGCAAACAATGTTTTTCTGTAGCTAGGGTCACGCAACACTGATCACAAATACTTACTCCCTGAAAAAAGTTAGCCAGTATTTTCTTGAACTTGACTGAAATTAATAATCAAATGATTAATGAAATACCTCTTTATGTGCTATACCACCCGCTACAAGTACTTCAGGTCGAACAAAATTTACGAAACAACTGTGACCAGTCAATGTGCAAGTGCACATTATGCTGTAATCAACTCCACGCTAAATTTTCTTTCCAAAAATATTTACAGTACAAAGTGATTTGATTTTCACCAAAAGATATTAAACCCGATACTCTAAATGCAAAGCACAAATGTCACGCACTTTTCATTCTTTGTACTATTCATAGCAAAATTCATTAAAGCTTGTAGCTTCCATTATTTAACATAAAATTCACATATTACAGTGAATTATAATTGAAGCTATCCGAGTGATCTCACACTGTCATTGTTATGTCAGCCCCTGAAAACTGTTTGAATTATCCAACGATATTAATTTTACTGTGAAATTATCAAAACTATTTCAAAAATCTCCTGTTTACTATTCACACAATCATAAAAATACTTCAACTGTACATCCTCCATCGCCGAATTCCTCATTAAGAAGAATTTCGATTCTCTTTTAATGAAAGGGGTGGAAGATTGGTTGCTGACATAGCTCCCTCCTGACGGCGTTTACTGCCTCATGGAAGCAAGAGGCAAAAGAGGAAACTACAGTTGAAGGATTTATAGTGACCTAAATTGCTTGCTATTAGTCTACATCAATATTTCTTAAGCGAATGACCAGTAATGAAATCTAGAATGCAATTGGGTTTTTCCTTTGCTGCTCATTACATGTTTCATCTACCCTTGGTCCATTGTGTTTTGTGCTGTTCGCGGCCAAATCCTTCATCATAGTTCCCCTTGGTTTTGAACAGCTGTTTGAAGTGCGGTTTACAATAAAGTTTCCCTTGTAGGGCAGCATAGTTTCCAAGTCTACAAGAAGAAAAAAGTGACAGAAAAAGAGTCAATTCGGCTACAATGAAGTTGGCATGGATATCACAGAAGTACAACAGCACCGCCTCATCATTACGAATTCTTTAACTGTTCAAGACGGTATTGTAACCAACAGTTCCACCATAAAATAAATGTATCTAAGCGCGTTAATCCTAAAACTCGTAGAGGTGATTAACATTTAGCATAAAGGTAATTAGGAAAGAAAGGCTCGCACCCTGAAGGGTTTTATCTTGATGGGGCAACAAATTATTATCTTTAACAATTTTCAAGAAAACATTTAAGGGCCAAAAGAGAAAATACAATTCTCTACCTAGAAGTTATTGGGTCATGTCAAGATCTGTCAGATTACGTGTTTCAGAACCTTTCCCTTCATGAGTGACGAAGGCAGAATTTCCCCTTACAATACGATATCAAGCATACAAATGATGACAATATAGAAAAAAAACAATTAGAGGATTATTAGTTGATCCAATACCAAATTCTCCAAACTAACATCATCATAACTGCACGGTTGACAGTAAAGAGAATCACTAATTAGATCAGGGCGGGAAGGGCTAGGGTCTTATTCGGTTTGTTTCCGTGCATTCCGATTGATTTTGCTGCTTGAAATGTTTTTAGATATTCATGTGTCTGCTGCTAACCAGATAAGTTATTTTTTCAAAATTCCTAGTTAAGCCGCATGCAGTGAAAATTCCGCACATTGCACTGGCCTTTTATAATGATATCAAAAGCGTTTAATTAACTAACATTACCGAAAGAGCACACAGATGTACTCGGAAAATGTCTAGAGTTAGTATCAAATTCTCTCAACCACTACCTCATTGTATATAAAACACTGCAACAATGTCCCCCTCCTCTAGTGAGTTTTTGCCCCCGGGGGGAGGGGGGGGGGCAAATCAGTCGGCTAATTTGAAAAAATGCACAGATGTACAGAGAAGGTAGACTCTTTCATGTTGAATAACTGTACATCAGATGGGAAAGGAAAGAAGAAAACAAAACCAACGATAGCGAGACCAAGACTAAGACCAAAAACAATAACAAAACAACAAATGAAATTAAAAAACGAAACAAAACAAACGAGGAAAATAACCATCAAGTACAAGCATACACAAATGTTATCACTATCATTCACTTTGCCTCCCTAAATGTCATTACATAATGATTCTTCTAAAGTCTTAGGAGTTAGGACTAACAACTCAAGACGAAGCCTATAACCCAATGTAAACTTTTAAAGACAACAAACTGCTAGAAAATTTACTGGGCTGTAAGAAACTTGGGAAACTTGCCATGTATAACATAAATGACAATTCAAATGTGACACAGCCAACTGTCAAGACGTTTAGAAAAACTTAGGCAGTCAGGTGTAATTTGTAAGTCAGTTGGAATTCTTGTTGTATTCTATTCTCACCTTCAGGCAGATTTTGGTGGTTTTCCCACTCTACCAAACAAAAATGTATCAGTAAGTAACACGATATTCTAGAAACAAAATTTCTGGCGTGTTTTGTGATCATGAAGATCTTGTGAAGATGACAGGACTGTGAATTTCTCATCAGGCATATACACGGACGACACAGTGATGTTGATAATTTAATTGGATGAACGCTGTAGTTGACTTTCGATTTATATTTACGCGAAACTCAGTTTATCTTAGCAATTTTCTTGGCTACATTAATCCAAATAGTCCCCTTGCCACTAAATGCAAAATTAACATCTTGTATTAGAGCGAAGTTCTATTTAATTATTTTAGATGTAACGACCTTATACGAGCTTAAAGTATATGTACAACGTATGTTACACAGAATTTGTTTACATTCTAACATAGTTCCTTTCCATTTTAGCATTTTTTCTCTTATAGCAACTTCCTTGATTCATGATCAAATTTTATTTTTATCCTACATTGTAAAGATGTTTTGATTTTATCATTTCTTAATATTCAATTATCGTCGTCCACCATATCATTTAGGCTAGAGCAATTTTGTATAATAAAAATAACTCGGGAATTCTTGTATATAACTCTATCAGTTAGTTTGTATATATCTCTTTAACATTTCTTCAGAAGCTGAAAAGTTTGCCATCAAAAGTATTTAAATTACCTGAATTTATTACCATTAAATTGGAACTAAATAACAAAAAAATTGTCTTTTAAACTGTTCAGTATAATGATGGACTTTTAAATTAATTATGAACAAAAATATGAATTGCAATTGCAAAATCACTTGGCAGGCCTCACAAAATTACTTTTTGGTGATAAAATCTACAGACTACTTAAGTTTTTGGGTGAGTTACTTTCTGAGATGCAAATGGTCACATGTTTAATAATATATGTAGATGTCAATAAAGAACACAGGTGCAAATGCATGCACAACTGACACAAATAAGCTGTGATGAGAGTGTGACATACTGCAATGAGTACATGTAAATCAACATTGCAAATAAAATACATATATGTATGTAATTATGGTAGTCAACCAAATCTAAACTGTATCCAGAAAAAAAACTAAATTAAAACATCTCATGAAAAATAAATATACCTATACTTACTGATTATTTTGCAGAATATCAAACTATCCCACCCATGCTTAATGTCAGTACTAACTGGGTACATGCATTTAAAGTACCACAAAAACTGCACTTAAACAAGTTTAAAGACCATCCACTAGTTCTACAACTTACAGTGGACCTACATGTACATGTAAAAGATTTTTAGATTATGTATCATCACTTGCAACCAAAGCTGAAGCCTTGAGTGAAGCCTTGGAGCTGGTATGCAGTACATGTGGTTCCTGCACTCAGTGTGAAAGCATTTGTACCCATTTACTACCATTAATATGGGGTTCTACTAACTGGGTACATTTCAGTTGCTACTGAATACAATGTACATTATACTGATGCTCCCCTCCCTAGCAAATTACCGGGGTATTGATGGCACATTTATATACATGTACACAAGGTTTATGAACACAACCATATACAGGGTTTGTACCATTTTTCAAAAAGAAATTTCAAGGACTTTTCCAGGAGGTGGATTGTTTTTTCCAGGACTCCGAATTTCACCTTAAACCATTTCATTCCCAAGGTTTCACCATCAATTCTCCTTGGGGTCAACATATATTTCTTAAACAAAATGTATTCTGAAAAACTTTCTTGTTTAAGTTAAGCAGATTTCCAGGACTTTTCAGGTTTTCCATGGCCTGTCCAAACCCTGCATATACTGTACTTCTGAAAAATTCTTAGTTGTGAGAATTTGATTCTATTTCAACACATTTCCCCTTTTAAGGTCAGTTCTAGTTTTTAATACTATCAATTCCAAGCATCTTCACCCATTACATGATGCACATTCCCAAAGTAAATATCAACTAATAATTATTGCAAGTGTTGACAAACCTTAATGTTGATTTGCACTCAGCACATTTAAAGCACGTTTTATGGAACACCTTGTTGTCAGCAGCAAGCCTCTCCATTGGATAAACAGTCTTTGTGCATGTCTCACATTTCTCTTGTTGAGGCGGTGCAAAGCGATTAGTCCTCTGTTGGAAACAAATGGGGTATAATAAAACTACAATTGTAAATACCTGATCTTCAAATCTAACTTAAAATTCCCAACGTGAGGTTGCTACATACATGTACATGTACAGCAGTACTATATGAAAAATGGGGGATCTACATGTATGATTAATCTTAGGAATCATTAAATCCCCTTACTTTAACATGCACTCAACTGAACCTAGTGTTACAATTCATATCTACGTAAAAATAAACTAACCCATTAGCTCTAACAGAGCCTTTGCTGACAAACAAGCTACAAGTAACATAAGATATAAACAAGTCACCACTACTGACAACAGTCCTTCTCAGGACTACACTCAGCCAGATAATCAGACAACACTATCACATTTTACCCTTGGGTTCAACCTATTTACTGTGTAAAATAAAAAATGACCATTAAAAAAATGATAGTAATAAGATTAAATGTACGATACAAACTCTTGAACTAAACCCCTACCTTTTCACTATCATCATCAGATTCCCCAAAATTCACAGTTTCCTTTAGGATATTAACTGGCTGTTAGTTGGTTAAAAAGCTTAAAGTTTGATAAAGATTAGCTGGTTAAATTTAACAACACAGTTAACTGAAGTTAATAAATGCTACAGCAGCAGAGCAGACTCAGAGATTCTTACTGGATTTGGTGTTACTTCTCAGTGCAAAAAAGAAAACAACAACCAGATGCTGTAAATATGAATGAAAAGAAAATAGATGGCGCAGATTCTTGTTCAGAATTTTTTCCCATAGTTTGGGGCATTTCAAATTGTTCAAAACTTCGAGAGGTTGGCAGCTGGAACTACTGTTTAATCAGTGGGCAACCATGTTCTGTGAGGTGGTTGTCAGTAATAAATTTTGGCAATTTTTGATGACCACTAGATGACTTTAAATTTCAAACCATAGCATACGAGTAAGTATTTTCAAATTCAAAATTCCATGAAGTTGTGGCAACAGGGCAGTACAGCAGTACATTAATGGCCAGCAAGTTTTAAAAGAACACCACTTTTAATTCACTTACCTCAAAACAATCATTATTGGAACCATCTTGATTAACCTCATACTTGAGGACATTAGCACATTAATGGATCACACATTCATGGGTTAGCACATGAGCAAATTAATTTAATTTGTAGTCCTATTATGAGCATAGGCCAGCATAACACATAAGCATGTTTATAAATACGACTGTTAACACCAACACAACATTCATGTAATGCACATTGGAGACGCACAGTGGTACAAGGTGAACATGTCCACTCAAGCAAGGGCATGAGAAGAAAAACGTCCCCTGACCCAGTAATTTCATTTGAAAGAGTAGAATGCCATGGATAATTAAGGATAAGCAGAAACAAACAGTAAATCACAGCTTACAACTCAAGAAATATGTTTTGAAAGAAGTTTCAGAGTGACAAGTCTGTAACTTGATAGTTGGAAATGTGAAATGTAGACTGTACATATATTTCACAAGTTACTGTAAAAAGAAATTTCAAATTTAACTCTTTAATCCCTAAGAGTGACGAGGTTCTAATTTCTCCTCACACTATCACCCCTGAATAAAAGGTTTAAGTCATGAGAATACAGGAAATGATCAGCAACTAATAAAGCTCTTTGATGGTTTCACAAATTCTCCCTGTTAGAACCTAGGAAATGTATAGAGAACAGTGTGGAGAATATGCATAATGATGTTAAGGTGTACAAGGTTAACAGGTACTGTATCACATATCATTTAAGTGTGTAACTGCTGAAAAAAAAAAAAAAAAAAAAAATCAAAAGTTTTTTTAAAAAGTTGTTCTACTCACAGTAACAGGTTTAGTAGTTGTATCTTTGGTATTCTCCTTTCCCTCAAACTTGTTCAGAGTTTCTCTTGCACCTCTTGGCTTGTAACCACTATTCTCTCCCTGGACACTTGCTTTCAATTTGACACTGTCAATCTCATCATTCTTCTCTTTTCTTTGTGCTCTCTTTTCCTGAAATGCAGAAAGTCATAAAAGATTTAAAAAGAAATCTTTAAAGAATATCTGAGAAGTTCTCACAAGACAATCCACATATAGGTTGTTTTTATTATTTTTATCTAGAAGGAGAGAACTTAACAACAGCCTTAAATTAACAGGGCAATTTTGGCACTGAACATACATGTACAGGGCATAACGGGTCCCTTCAATTCAAAGTGCATTCTGCCAATCACATTCTATAGTGAGTACAATCAGAATTACCAGTAGAAAACATCACAAAAGAAGAAAGAGTAAGGGAAAGAAACAACAGCTCTGCGAGAACCAGATTTTCAAATATTCAAACAAAGACATGATTCAAAAGAACACTTGGTCCACATCTAAACAAAAGTCAGATATACATGTACTGTAAGACTGAGATTTCACTACTGAGCCAAACTTTCTCTATTTAGGTAAGCAGAACTTAAAGCATTACTTAATGTACATACACATCTATAGCTTATTTACAGCTTGTGGAATGAATTGCAAAATATTGAACAAATTTTCCCTCCGATCTGATAGCTGCAGATTTGTTAAGGTGATAGTATCATTGTTCAGAAGTACAGTTGGACCTCATTTAACACACATGTACTGCATGTACTGACAATACAAAAAATGCCAAAGTTAAATACTCCATGTAAATTGTACCTATCCAAAACTACCTTAGATATAAGTATATAATGATTGCACAAGTAAGAAAAAAATATTTTTTAATCATACTAGTACCTGTTGATTTACCTGATTATCTCCTGATTGTTTCCGTGCTGACACAGTCTCGGTTTTAGCCTCTGAAGGCTTTGAATCTCTCACTCGAGATGTACTCAAAGTTTGTTCTTCACCTCCTTTCTTCTCAAATCTTGATTTCACAGATGCTGTGTATGTTGACTTCTGCTCAGAAGTATTACTTGTTTGGTCTTCTTCTGAGGTAGATCCTCTCTTAGTTAAGGCTTCAACAGGTATTGCTTCACTTTTACTGCTGCTTCTCCTTCTCTCGGCTCTCTCTCTCCTCTCCTGTCTCTTACGTGCCAATGCATCTTCCTTCTCTTCTTCCTTATCAGCTTTGGCTTCCTCTTTCTTTTCTGTTGCCTTCTCAGCAGCCCTTGTTGCTGCTCTTCGCGCTGCTCTTTTCTCATCAATTGTAGATTGCACTTCTTCTACTTTGTCCACACTAGTGGATTTCTCAACATTACCAGTCTCCTCAGACTTGCCAGCACTTTTCAATCTTCGTTCAGCCCTTCTAGCTGCTAAAGATGTTCTCCTCGCAGAAGAGGCATCTGATGGAGCTTCTGCATCATCCTCAGAGGTACCATGTGTACTCTGCCTTCTTCTTTCTCTTCTCTCAGCCCTTCTTGTAGCCGGATCTTTCATTCTATCTTCTTCTGATTTGGATTTTTCTTCCTCTGCAGGTTTAACTTCACTTTTCTCAACTTCCTTTCCCTTACCATCTTGTGAATCCTTACCTTTCGCTTCTAGCAACAAACAAAAGATGACAATGTTTTAGAGAGCTACCAAAAAGACAACCATGGTAAAAAAAAAATAGCAGTCCACTCGCCATAATACTGGGTTTTCATTGGTGTACTGGAAGGAAAATAATGTGAAGTAACAAGAAAAAGTTATTCACATATGAATTAAAAACTAAGTTCAGGCCATCTACATTTTAGATTTTCAAATTCTTGCCTGTGATATTTCAAATTAAACACATGTATTTGTAAACAAATCATCATGAACAAATGGAATTAACTAAATCAGCTGCTTTACGATACAAAAATTGTGAATTTTTTCAAACCTACAATGAACAGAGAGCAAATTCTGGATGAGGCTGGTTTGGTCACACTTCATGCAACCTGACCAATATGCCCTGAACATACATCTACCAAAATGTTCATCTACAGAGTCAAGCAAAAAATATTCACAAAGTTGCCTGAACTTACATTCACATCCCACAAAAATCAGCAACTCAAATCATAACTTAAAATATACATGCACCATGTGAAACTCTTGGTACACCCACCTTCCTCCATAGCTTTCTTCTTTTCTCTCAAAGCTCTCCTTGCACGATAATCCATTGGGACATCTCCACCATCACGCATAGTAACAGATGCGGCTGGTTTAGGCTCATCTTCAACCTGTTTAGGTTCATGTTCTTCATCTTCCTTGCCATCATTGGTGTCTTCTTCAACATGGAGATCAACTGGACTGGACTCATATACATCTGAAGATGCGACTGTAACTTCACCTCCAAAATCATTTTCAATCGTCTCATTTACTTCTATTTGTTCCTCTTCATCTGATTCATGTTCCTCACCATTCATTTTATGATTGTTGTCATCCTCAAGGACTTCCCTTGCCTCTCCTTCTCTCTCCTCTGCTTCTTCATCTTGAGCTTTTTCTTCTTCAAACACATTCTCAATCTTGTCTTCTGGAGTTGCTTCTCCATGTGCCACAATTTCTTTGTGTTCTTTGGACTTTGATGAAGATCTGCGCCTCTTCTTCTTCTTCTCATGTTCATCTCCATGTTTCTCTTTCTTGCTTTTTTTCCTTGTGCTTCTATCAGGTATTTCTTGCAGTCTTGATTTATCACTAGTTTGAACTTCCAAATCTTTAGCAGCCTTCTCTTCAAAAGTCATCTTGTGCGATCGAGCTCTACCAGCAATAGCTTCCTCCTCCTCATCTCTCAACTTCTTTTCTGATGTTTTGATCATGCCAGCCTCTACGACCTTTTCATCAAAATATTCTTTGTGTGAGGACGCCTTTCCCACAAGATCCAATTCATCACTTTTGGACCTAGCTGTTTGGACTTTGGAGGCTTCCTCAGCAAATTGCTCAAACTTTTGGCGATGGGACTTTGCTCGTCCACTCAAGTCAATCTCCTCATCTTCCACCCGTTTAGAACCCCTTTGACTTCCATCATTTGATGACCCAAATTTTTCAAACATTGCACGTCGCGATGATGCCTTGCCAGAAAAGACATCTTCCTCTAAATGAAACTTGCGAGATGCTTTGACTTGGGACTCTTCCTCTATCTTTTGTTGGAAAATATTGCGATGAGCTTTTGCTCGCCCTGAAAGGTCTACATCTCCAAGGATTCTTCTCTCTGCACCGGGTGATGTTGCTTTATTCTCTGATGCATATTTTTCAAACAACTCTTTCTTTGATCTTGCCTTCCCAGAAATATCCACTTCTCCTTCTTGCTCACCAAATATTTTCCTCGGAAGAGATGGAGACACCTGGGCGCTTAGCCTGGCCTGTTCCTCAAAGAGCTGTTTATGAGATTTTGCTCTTCCTGACAGGTCAACCTCCTCGTCTTCCACTTTGATTTTTGGTGTCACCTTTTTTACTTCATCTGCAGCTGCTTTCTCAAATGTGCTGCGTCGAGAACTGGTAGGCACAAATAGGTCTCTCTCTTGCTCTATGGGTCTGATTCTAGCTGTTCCTGTTTCACTTGCCTCTTGAGCTTTCCTCTCAAATAGTGATTTACTAGATGCAGCATAACCATGCTGAGGGCGCTCACCTTCAGCTATCTTCCCTGCTTGCTGGAGCCTTAAATAAATAAAGAGGATAAAGAGGTACACACATGAAAAAGATATCACCACTGAGAGCTCCTACAAAATATTACAAGCCTGTCAAATGGTGTAAATATACCATGTGTATAAACATGACCCAGCTAAAATGAGGGAATATCCAGTAATAAGCACAGTAGCCTATACTGGGAACAAAAAAATATCCTTGAGGAAACCTGTCTGCAGACATTACTTCCAAGGTTCCTACATTAGTTTCCCTTAAGCTTCTCTGTTTGTGAACTTACTGTAGTATTGTATGGAATTGTTGCAAAGCTAGTGATTCTAGAAAATTAGAGAGGGTACAAGAACGGGCCCTTAGAGCTGTTTATTGTGATAGCATATCATCATATAGCAACCTCCTTAAGAGGGCTAATTTAAAAACCTTATGTAATAGGTGATTACATGACACAGCTGTGTTAATGTTTAAAGTTAAAAATGATCTGTGCCCTAATAATATCAAGAACCTGTTTGTTATTAATAACAACAAATATGATTTAAGAAACAATGATTTCATTATCCCTAGAGTTAGTACTACGCGCTATGGTAAGCACTCTCTTAGGTACTTAGGTCCAGTAATCTGGTCTAAGTTAGATGGAAAAATAAGAGCACTAAGAACGCTGCAAAAATTTAAAAACGCTTTACATAAAGTAGATATACAAAGTTTAATCTCTTCGAATAATTGCAAGAACTGTATTTTATGTAAATCTTAAATATTTTAAATATTATCAAGATCATATTATTGTAATTATTATTATCTTATTATCTCATTATATTAAGGTTATTATCTTATTATACAGGGTAGGGTATTATAAACATGGGGTCTACTATTTCGGGGTAGGGTAGTTTTATATGGGAAGAGCTCTTTTATCATATTCCAATAAATTTTTAATGCATAGTTTTAAATAGATTAGATTAGTTTAGTTTAGGTGTCCTTACTTAGTGGGAAACTGCTATCTTATTTGACATGTAAATAAAGTTTATTATTATTATTATTATTATAACTAAATGTTTCTCACAACATTTTATGTCAACAGACAGATGTTAGAGTTTATTTGCCTTAAAAGGAGTTTATTGATCACAGTTTAATCCTTTAACTGCCAAGATCTGATTGTTAATTCTCCTCTGTAGCTGCTACACATTTCCTTGTAGATTAGTTATGAGAACTTGGTGCTAGATCAACATAGCAGCTTCTACCTGACAAGTTTGAATATTCTCATTACCTGTTTGCTGAAGAATGTATTGATATTGTAGGGAGAAGTTTTATGTTAATTACTTCTGGAAGTTAAAGGGTTAAGTGAGCATGGTACACACATTTCAGGGGAGGGGGGTGGGAAGTTAACCATTACAATCTGTGTGATGAAGACCAACACACAGTGGAGAATGTCATGTCTGGTGCAATCAATATGCTGCATGTAAAACCACAAAAATCATTACTATAACCAGAAAAAGTTTCTAGTGTGGATACAGTTTACCAGTAGTTACACAAAGTCATACTTGGTAGCAAAAAATACATTAATTGGGTAATGTGAATATTTCTATATGCTCTCTAGTAAAACTTGGTATTCAAGTGATGTTGGAATATTTGCTATCATACCCTTAAATCTACTTCTCAGAGGCAGCTGTTTTACAATTTCATCCAAAAAGAGGCTCAGATGACAGCCATCTGTGTGTTACTTGAATTCTGAGACGCATATTTATGACATAAAAACTATTAAAAGGCTCTTGAATGTCAATTCTCATTCGATTGCAACGGATTCATTTCAGATATCAAAATTTTCACTTCCAATAAATTAAAAATTCACAAAGGACACTGTGAAACTCCGGCAATGACGAGAATCTTAAAAGACAAGTTTGTTTAAACAATAAAAACAAAAGAAGTCAGCTTTTAATAGCCAATTAGAAGCCTTGACATTTCATTTCTAACACAGTTTTCGATTAACACCTACTTCGTGAGTTCAAACCTTGGCTGTCGAGTTAACAGCTTTGACGTGAGGATTTGATTCTTTAATGAATTTGTTTAATGATTCATAATCTTTCGATCCTTCGTCTTTTCACAAGTATTCTGAATTGGAAAGCGTGTTAAAATCACAATAAAAAATTGACTATCAGTCGGTGAAACAGAGCAACCTTTGAATCGACGAGCGACAAGAAATAGCAGCAACCTCATGTGACGTGAAATTCCATTTGAATATTTGTGAATAAAAGGACGGAAAGCTCGCTATTTACAAAACGAAATAAATTCTAACAGTTACGTAAGTCCTGGTTTATCTGCCCAGAGGAAAAGTTTTCAACAACAAAAGCTGCAATCAAAATATTTTCTTTGCTTTGATGTCCAACATGAAACGTATGGTCGAGAACAACATCTCAGCATGATGTGCTAAGGGAGGCTCGCTAATAAGTCAGAAAACAAAGATAGAAAATGCTTTTGTGAAGGGAAAGCTCGTTATAAGCCGATTTAGAAGCTATGAAATGACACTTGCTACCACTACACAGAAATACCGACAATTTAACCACTGATCTAAGAGATCACAGCGGTGATAAACCTGAAAATTGCATACCGGCTGCATTGCTAAATGTTAAACCGTGGCCTTATCGGTTAATTCAACCAGAAGAAAAGCAACTTAAAATTATGGCCGCCTACATTGGGGTGAAAAGTCTACTCCACAAAATGTACACGAAAGTAAGAAATATGCGAATTTAAATAAGAAAATCTCAGCAAAAGTTCCCATGTTACCTCTCAGATTCCTCCGAATCGTCGCTGTACGATTCTTCCGAAGATGACTCTTCTTCGCTCGAGCTTTCCTCTTCCGATTCCCCTGTTTCTTCCTCGACTTCTTCCTCTGATCCTTCAATTTCGCCATTTTCTTCCACGTGCTTGCCACTCTTACCGCTACTCGAGCTAACAGAAGTGTTTCTAGCTGTGGAACTGACCTTGGTTTCTCCTATTTCATGATCTCCGTTCAAAACTTTGGATCTCAATGGCGGGCCGGTTTCGTCCTCTGCCAACTCCATATCGTCTCGTTCGTCGCTACTGAGGTCGTCGGCCATAACTAAACTAATACTTCTTTGTCTTCAGTTGAAACAGAAGCACAAGACAGGAAAATTCCACAGAGAATAATATCACAAGGCCAGAGGACACGAACGAACGCCCTCAGTCAGAATTAGTACGCAAATGAACGCTAGCTTATTACAAGTACTATTGTGAGAACAAATAAACAATCGAACGGCCAATCAGAAACGTTCTAGAATCATACCAAATGACCTTTCCGAATCACTCCAAATTTGGTAAATGTCAGGGAATCATCTTCCTTCTTTCAGTTTCTCTGTGGTCGCACTACAGACGTTAATTACTGTCCACTGCATTGACAAACGGTGTGAGATACCTGACAGGCAAAATTTATAGCGAGCTTCCAAGATAAACGCAGCTTGTCTGAAAAAATAAAAGAATGAAAAAAAAAAAATCAAATTTTGTTTTATAAAATTTTACACATTGTAGGAACTCTGGCATTGATGGAGAGTTCTAATTTTTGAGATTTTTTCACGTTTCGCTTGACATGAAATCCGTGAAAATCACATTTCCTACAAATATCTGCCGTTAAGTGGGTATTGTATTGCAAACTGCAATATCAGGAATTTTAGCAAAAGGGGTATATGTTTAAATATTTAGTCGAAATCTGACATCAGAGCCCGTGACTGTGTTGTGTCATAGAAGCAAATTGATCGTCAATGAAAGGAATCCAAATCATTTGATTTGAATGGGAGTATTCGACTATATTTAGTGGAATAATTCTATTTGTACGTATGCTGGGAGGTATTCAACACGGTAACGGAATTTATTTATATTTACCGTAAAAGTGCGCGACTGGTTCCGGATTGAACTTCTACACGAAAATGCATGCGACGGACGCATTAGTACCCACTACCGTAATTTCGCGTAGGTTCTCAGTTTCGCCTTTTTCCTTCGCTTCAGGAAACGCAAACGAAAAAAATCTAAATCAGTTATTGCAGATTATAGATCATTTGAAAGCAGTCAGATGTTGATACTCCTAGATGAAATATTTACGCTGCAATTTGTTCGGCTAATCGATTTTTGACAGTTTTTCGTGTTACAACAGATAACATGAGCCGTTAAAGAAGATTTCATGTTATTTGAATAATCAGAAGCTCTAAGAAACACAATGGCAGCTCACGAGACGAGTCCTCTATATTTCGTAACATTTCCGAAGCGGAAACTCGTTAAACTAACGGCATACTTAGGTCAGTGGGTATGGCATAAGAATCAGGAAATGCTTTGAAGTTTTTGAAATGTTTCGAACCTTTATTTTAGGCGGTACAAGACTGTAACGAGTTATAGTTTTTAGCTAACCAAACTTCACCGTTACTTGTTTACCCTTCTAGAATCTGTTATCTTTATTGTAATGAAAGTTCTCTAGGGGTGTGAAAGTAACTCGACTTTCCCATATTTCACGGCGTTCAAGGGTAAAGGAAATAACCGTCGACAAGGAATCTAGGTAATTTCAGGATAAATTCGCAGTTTAGAACTTGCAGTCGAAATCATGAAAGTAAGTTGAGACAATGTGTGGGAAAACTGCCCCAAGTTTATCATCATCATTATTATCAATTGAAGGGTTGTAATGACCCAGCTATACTGTACTGGCTGTTGCCACATTGCGAAGCCCGAATTCCGAAATCTTCAAAAGATTTTAGTAAGCTTATGGTGGCTCAGTTAGTAACACATCTTTCAATAATGGTTAAACCAAAGTGATAGGCGATAATCTATCATTAGTTCGAATGAAATCCAGTTCCAGGCTTTGTCAAACATATCTGTTTGCGCACATCTGTTTGTAATAAACACCCGATAAAACAGAGCACGGGGTCCATGAAGAATTTTGTGGTAATCATATATTAGTTTCCATACATCTCTCAAATTTTGGTTGGTATTTTTCCTGCAGCAAATTTTGTGCTACATGCAGTGTTTACTCCTTCCCCCCTAAAAGTTACTAGCATCCAATTTCTGTTCACAGTGCATCTTTTGAGTCGACCATTAGAAAGGAAATGAAATGAAATGAGTGTTCAAAAACATTCTTCTTGTTTGTCTCATAGGGCGTGTATAGAGAAAACTGTATGGAAAATACAAATGCAATAATATACTATAATAGTATGTATGATGTAAAGGGTTAAGTGAGATCAATTGAACGGGTGAGGCTATCTGAGTCGAAAAGAAATTGGAAAGAGAACTACAGGAGTCAAAAATGAACGTTCAGACGGACGCACGAGTACTGGATCTTAAATCTGCACAAAAAGTGATAAGAAAATGCACAATGAACAGTTCTAATAGCAACAATGATAATAAAAGTGGTGATGAGATAGGCATTGATTTTATTAGATATCCCTTTCATCGTCATAATGCAGTCAGATTAACTTCATAACCTTTCAATAGTTTTAGTTCAGACGTGCGCAAAGCTAAGGACCGACAATAGATAATTACATTTGACGTGCACGGATAGAGGAAGTTTTATTTTTGGAAGGGAGGATATGCCAGAATGACGTCATAAAACTAATCCTTCTGTATTATGTCACCCGGCGTTGTCAGTTGTTTGTTGGATAATCCAAAGCAAATCTATGAATTTAGACAGCGACGAGTTTCGAAATTGTGACTGCCTTGGCTAACTTCCCTCAGTTTGTTTACTGAGTTTGCTTTGGACCCGCACTAGAGATCTTGTTTTGGCTTTACCAATAAAAGATTAATTGTTTTATCGAAAGCATTCGTTACGTTGTTGCTCATTTGTGAGATTTTTGTAAAAAACGTTTGGGTTCGGAGTGCTGACAACGATTTAATTTTCAAATTTCAGTTGGTCAGCATGACTACTTATGCCTACCGATAGGGAAAATAAAATGCGTATTTAGAGTTAGTAATCAGTGAAAATCAAAGAGAAAGTAACGATCAGAGGTAGAGTCATGAAGTCGACAAGAGTAAATATAGGAATCAGAGTCGATCAGTCTCTCAGAGTCAAAGAATGAAAGTGATTTTAAGTGGTTTAAGAGAAGAGTGAAGTGAATTTAATTTAAACACGATTGTATTAAAGAATAGAGATTGAAGAAGACTGAAATGGAAAGGTGAAGAGTCCTTAGTGCCTTTCGCTATGCGTGCTGCACTCTGCAACTATAGTTTCCCCCATCATTATGACGCAACAAAGGTGACTTGAGGCAAACCCTTATTCTTTCCTCGACCGTTACTTACTAATCGCTGACAACTAGACTCTAAGATGATCATGACTTTTGGTGTCTTGGGAAAAAGAGAAGTTGATACACATTCAACAGGAGTTTTAATTAAGCACTAATTACCTCATTGACAGCAATTTATCTAGAAAAAAGCGTTCCTATTAATGATTAGCAAGAGAGGATAAAGTCCTCTCTTGTAATAAGTTAATATTATAACCAACATCGTTTTATTTAGTATATACCATCTGTTTGCCTAATGTTTTGTTTTTTTTCTTTTGATCAAACCAATCTTATACTCTTTTTTAACAAGCAGCCAAGAATTCTCAATTCAGTCCTTGGGAAAATGGGCGATGGTCAAGTGTTACTTGCACCTCTTCACTGCCATCTTTGCCAATTTGTGATACAAATAACTTTACGTGATGCTCTTTTGATGTTACTCATATTACCATTGCCCATCCCCTTTCCGCCGTAAAAAAAGGATGATTCCAAAATTGACGATTTCGGATGCTAAAATCGACTCTTTGATTGAGAAGAAGAGGCGATGCCTGATGAACCAAGCCTCTGACTGATCTCAATCAGTTGTGAGAGAACACTTTTTCTTGTCACGTTTGATAAAATAATTTCAACCACGACGAAGAACAAACTTGAAAAGAATGAAAAGAACACGCCAAATAAGGCAGACAAAATTAAGTTCTGCACTGAAGTAAAATTCATCAACTTGCGTTTCGGCTGCTTCTACGACCAAAATGGCCGCTTGCTAAACTTCGATGACTGTCAGGGAAGATTAATTATGGCCGGCGAAACTCTCGAAGACGAAAACTGCCCGGGCTCACTGCAGGAATGGCATGGATTGGATGGCGTCGGTGACGCCTGCAGCATATCCGTGCAAGGCCTGTTCGGAACTCTGAATTCGTTATGGAGTAAATTAATGGATTTATTGAGGAGTTTAAGCCCAAGGATAGAACTCCTGCGAGAAAAAACCGAATGCCTGATGCTTTGGTAGGACTTAACTCAGGTACACTGAAGAAGATCTGTATAGTTACGTAGATGAAAACTGGTGACAAAGTCAGTAGAGATGCAAATGTAACAATGATTAAGGAAGTTGTGAGTCTCTTTTCTCTGTTTCTGATGGCCATAGACTCGTGTTGAAGATGCCGACTACGTCGAACTTTTATACATATCGAAAAATACGAGACTGAAATAATTATAATGACACTTGAAAAATAAGAGAAATACACGATTGCACTGATAGAAAACAGATTTCTTTGCATCGCAAAAGTTTGAATTATTTCCAAGGAGATGGATATCACCCAAATAACAAAGATTGTTTCGACGTAAGCACGCTTTTTGACGGTGAGATGTCGAAATGGACAAAATGTAACATGCAGTCTCTCCAGAGAAATTGCAGTAAGTGTAGTTGCAGATGCTATAGGAAACAACCTGCTCAGTATACTTGGAAGAAATTCTAAGGAAACGTTTGTTAATGGAGGAATCAAACACAAAGGCCCAGAGACTGCTCCGACCAAGAGATCAACTATGGCCAGATGGATGATCAGATATGTGCTCCTGCGCTGTAGTTGGCGCTGCTTCGCAAATACAATAATGGTGATCAAATTAAGGATAAATGTAACCAATAATTCTGCTACGATGACAACAAACCAAGAAAAACTTTCGGCTTTAGTAAAATTGATCCGAGACCAATCTAAAGAGTCGTTGCCGTCGCTGGTATTGGTATCCATCAAACTCACTCTGATACCAGTTTAATGCATTGACCACCTAAACGGGAAGAAGACAGTCAACAAAAATTAATGACTTTCCTCAGCAAATCCGAGGTTACCAGAATTGCTTATTCATTGATTTTGGGAATGAAACTAATGTAAAAGCGTTGTATTTTCGGCTTTAGCACGCGTTTTGAGCTGAACCAGACGAACACAAGCATCTAGTCGCTCATTCTGTTACAGAGTGATTGATTAAAATATCCAACGCCCCCTAACCTACGGACGTATACGTAGATCTGCAACGTTTTATAAAGGAAAGGGGGGGGAGGAGGCAGGTGGGATATTGGTGACTGTGTTTGCTCGCCTTCTTAAACAAAAACATCGGAAGAAGTAAAGTTGAAAGAGTGACGTCTAACGAGATCTAGGATGCCAATCGAGCGCTGTTTAGCACGTCAAAAGCCTGATTTAGATAAAAGCAGCCGTGGCATTTCTTACACTGTTGAAAGTGTCTTCTTTGGTTTTGCATATTAATAAGCTCTTGCATTTACATACAGCTTCTAAAAGTACAAACAAGAATTCGGAAATCGTAAAATTCCAATCAATATCGAATAAGATCAGAGTGAAAACTCGTTCCACCGAAAGCGACAGTTGCGGTTTAAGTGAAATTTTTAGAAGCACTGATTTTGTTGTTCCGATGCCGTTTCTTCAATTTCTAACTGAGATGGGCCTTGTTGAAACCGTGCTGCATAACACTGAAAGTTTTATTGTTTACACTGCATATGTAGTTTCCCCCCAATTTCTTTAGACAAGTCATGCAATACTGATGCTTTTTCACTAAATTGGAGAACCCAAAGACTGACAAACGTACCATCAAATGCTTGTTGCCGCTTTTGTTTCCTTGGGTATAGTCTCCACATATATTGAAAAACAATTCGCAGTAGAGACCAAATCGGAAAGAGAAGCCACTTTCATTCACTCCGGCTGCTTGGAGGTAAATAGCGTTCCCCATATCCCCTCCAGGCTAGCCAATAAGCGCATGCGAAAAGCACTATTCACTAATGTGGTATATAACATTACACGATACCTCCTCTTAACCCAATAACAGCTGCTCGCGGTTTTTTAAAATCATTTTGGCTCCTAAAACTGAAAAGAAACTTTTAAAGAAACTAATTTACTGATAGACTTAGACAGGATGATATGATGCAAATATTGCCTCATCGTCAAGTACGTTTCACTTCGAAATTTTCCATTAGCAGTAGTAGGGACTGATAAACAACAGGTCACAGGCACGCCCACCAAACCACTCCGCACAGAATGAAAGATTATTAAATATCTAAAGAAAACCCTTGTTAGAAACAGCTTTTCTACCTCATTTTTCGAACTTACATAAAAAAAATACCATGGTGTATATTCCTGATAGCTGCAAAGCTTTCCGATCGGAAAAACGCGTAAAATTCAATGAAACGGTTTTCTTCTTTCCATTTGAGGTAAAACAAATATTGAATATATATCAATTATTTCACGTAAATTATTTATGATGCGAAGTCATTTACTGAAAATAAAGCTCATCTGTCAATAAATTCTATTTCAAGGTATAACTTAATTTCAAACAGCACGCTAAAGTTCATGTGTGCACTCCTTTACGTTCTAAAACGCATATATAATTTCCCAGTCAACGCGTCATGCTGAGTCCCGTTTTTTGCTCGAGCATTTCGAAAACTTGCGGCTAGCAACTAACAACTGAGCTGAAAACGTAAATTGGCCACCGTAAAGAGTAAAAAGCTCAAAAATGGTATCTGTAATGCACAGATAAATAGACGAGGTGGCCGAGTGGTTAAGGCGTTGGACTGCTAATCCAATGTGCTCTGCACGCGTGGGTTCGAATCCCATCCTCGTCGGTACACTATATTTTTAAGATTTTCAAGAATTGGTAATTTAAAGACGAAAGAAAGCGGCTCTCACCCGGACGATCAGACTATACGATCACAATTCCTTTATCGCACTCCAAATCAAGGTGCTTTGGAAAATTCTCATTCTTCTTTGGAGAAGTGAATAGCTTTCAGTTTACTCTGGTAAATAATTTCTGAATCAATAATCATCTTAATTGAAAAACAAAATATTCAAAATTCATCTTTGATCAGAAGTGCGCCATTTAATGAGGCCAACTCCTGTAGTTTACCCTCATTGGGAAACGGCCGAGCTTCAGAGGTCTTAAAGCTAACTCCGTGCTTCCATACAGCGACAGGGACAAAACGCCGTTTAACTTTTCTTAACTGTGCGTTACAATCTTCAAGGTCCATGTCAAATTCTTCAAAATGCAACACCGTAATGTCTGCTGCATGATTCACATTCAGCGATCCAATCGCATTGCCTCGTCTAAAGGCAATTGCGGGTGTCACGGTAACAGCTTTGATGACGTCATTCAAGGGCATTCCTACGTGCAGCATTTTTGTCATCACAGTCAATAAATCGTACGCAGGGCTCTCTACAGATTCTACGTGCAAATCGGAACTGATTATGTCTGGCCAGAAGCCCTCTCTTGCACAGATCTCTGCTACAGTCCATGAAAACGACCCAGCTCCATGGCCCACGTCAAAAAGAACCCCACGTTGGCGAGCTTTTAAAACATCACTGTAAATTTGTTTGTTTGGGCCAACGATGGTACTTGGCCAGCCATGAAAACAGTGTGTGTGAATATCTCCCGGACGAAGGCTTCCGGGACATGAAATAATGTCTTTCCCTACACGTTTGAATTAAAATAATGGGAATTAATATATACTGAAACAGTGGATAACACTGAAGAAGCACTCTGTTTAACGGCTCAAACTCGATTACCTTTGTTATTCACCTCCGAACAACTCGGGTGGGATTAGCGCCCAAAAATATTGTAATCGTTGCAGGAATAAATGAGTTAAAATCGTCTTTTTGTGCTGTATTATCCCTCGAGTACATGCCGAAACGGATATTCACGCCGCTCGGTAAATATCTACCATTATGATCTATCAAGTATATTTGCTCGCGCGCGATTGGTCTAAACGCATCACGTGACCGAATATTCCCGACTAGAACCTGGGGGATTTTCGACGATATCACCCTAGTGGTATTCCCCAATTTTCAAACCTTACGTCCACTACGATAAGCCTTTGTTTAAAATTTGATTCAAGACGAGAGAGCGTTTCATGGTTGTTACAGAAGAGGGGGAAACATTTGTTTTTTTAATAACGTCGAACCAGAGGACACAAAAAAGGAAACATCCCATGCAGCAAACAGTAACCTGTTCTTAACCATTTTTTTACGCGTGCGGAAAAATAATTGAGAGATAATGAACACAATAGCCTCTATTTTGCGCAAAAATATGCTCTCAAATTTGTTAATGGACATTATATGTTCCTTGAGGCTAACAGTTTTCCTTGCGCTCCGCACTCGAAAAACTACTCGCATCTTAGAACAGGTAATGTCCGCGGACAAATATCTATGCATATTTTCACTCCAAATAGAGATTAAGGTTTATTTATTCCATTTCAGTGAAATGCAAAGAAACTGGAACGGAGAAATACTACTATAAAAAAACAAACAAACACATAAGTTGTGTTATTGAGTTGATCACGTGAGTCACGCAACTCACAAAGCTAAGGGTAGCCAGTCGTTTCGTACGCACGGACACTTCGTACTCCGTCAATAATTCATAACCAAATTTAGAAACTTCGAACCCAGTTTGTGTCTGTTCGTTAACAGTTGCCGAGTGTTCCCAACGGCATCATTTTTTTGCCAAACAAAGATGAGTCTTTTTTTTTTTTTGCAATGTTTTGATTAACCTGGAATTATTGGTGTACTTTATGACCTGGGAAGCAAAGGAAACTGGAATTTGTTTGCTGCTTCATGCCAATCATGTTTCATAAAATGTTTGTAAGTATATTGATGTATATCCTACCTTTTCTTTGAGTATCAATAGTGGAAAATGTGTGATGAGCCATGAGAGGAACATGGGTTTCTGATGATACTTTGAGAGCTCTCCTACAAAGACACAAAAATAGCTTTGGCTGAAGGGGCCCACCAGAGCTTATCTGGTATACTGCTTAACTAGGGGCCTTTGTTAAGCAGTAAGAGGCTAGCTAAGAGTAATTATGCTAAGGGACAGGTAATTACAAAACAAACCTACATTTTTTCTCAAGACTTTTGAGAATGAATACCTCTGTTTTCTGACAGCAGTAGCAGAATAAGGGGTAGGTTGCATCAATTAAAGTGTTCTGACAGTAAGAATTTGGTGATTTCACAAAATTATTTTACATTGGACAGCTAGGTGATAGCTCTAACACGCATATTCAGAGATGTAACGTTCCCTTAAGTAGCCATTGTCATCATAGTTTGCATAAGGTCCCTCTTAGCAACTAGGAGAAGTGCACTAGCTCTCCCTGCATGAAAGTTGTAAGTTCATGATCACATTACCCTAACAGTTGTATGGTACTAATTTACACTCTTTGGTGGGCTAAGCTACATGAAGGCAGTCAGTGAGAGCTAATTATCTTGAACAACAAAACAACACAAAGTATGGCCCAGGCAAAGGGTCTTACCAGAATTCTCAGCTAAAATTTTATAACTCAAATCAGGTCATGATGTGTTAGTAATTATGGATCTCTGTATACAAATGAAAAGTCAATTTGGAAATGAGCTCAATTGTAAGGACTCATTTCTAACTAAAAAATAGAAAAAAAACATACCTGAAAGCTTCCTCTTCATTAGCTCCATCATTTGCAGCACTTGCTGAAAGACGAACTTTTACACCAACAATCATATCTTTGTTTTTGCTCACACATTCTGCACACAATTCTGCATCCACTTGATTTAATGAATCACACTCACCCCCTTTTGCTAAGACAAAAAATAACATATTATAAATAGAAGGTAAATAGTGACATCTAGAAATGTTGTATTTAAAATTTTAACTCACACTCACCCCCTTTTGCAAAGACAAAAAATAACAGATATAAAAGGTAAATAGTGAGATTCAAAAATTGTGTTTTTAAAATTTTAACTCAATTGCAAACATTATGGCACAAAGCTTAATTAAACTTTACAGAAAAGGTGTTATAATAATATGGTTTGGTTTGAAAGGTTTTGACTGTGACTAAATTGACTACGACTACCACTTGAACATCTTCACCTGAAATTGTGCTTGCTGAGAAATGCATAATTTGGAGCAGTGTTACTATTTTATATGCTAATTCAGCATACTTTTCAATAACATGTGAAATTATGACTATGAAGGCAAAAGAAAAACTTTGAAATTTTTTGTTCCTGCTGCCAATTTAAAATAATTGAATGAAGGAAATTGGACTGAAAACTGTTCAGTTACAACTCCAGATCAAAACCTTTGGAGCCGGCAGTAAACCTTTGTATTATAAGTTTTTGCAAGGTTGGTAACACAATTAATACTAGCCTTAACTCCAAATCCACACAAGTTTGTAGTAACCAATTACTTTAAAATTAAATTGTAAATCTAACTGTTACCTTAATCCTAAACTTTATAGCCACTTGTATTCAAACCCTCTTAAAAATTCATGAGACCTTAGTATGTATTGATAGCCCTAAACATAGCTTCTTTTGTATATAAAGATCTGACAAAGTTTTAATTAATAATGTGTTTCATACCTTGACCAGTACATCCTGCAGATGCCAAACCATGAGCTGCTATATGGAGTAGAGCCAAAACTGTGGTCTGGGACTTTTCTGCAATGAATTTTCGAAGGCCAGGAAAGGTTGAGGCTCCTGTGAAAAAAAGAGGTTTCAATGTTGCATAGGTAAGCTTGATCCCACAAGTGACAAAAGTATTTTTGAGGCTTAGAAAAAAAGTCCAAAGCAGTTTAAGAAGATCCCATGGCTTTGACATGCATATGTGTAATTTTTGCAAGTAAATATGAGTGGCCAGTCTTATGCATATTAACAGACATCAGAAGCACCGTTTTTGCTTATCTTTTCATTTGTTCTATTTGTGGGAACTCAAGGCCTAAAATATATTGTTTAAAAACTGTTTTTTTTTTCAATTCTGTTAAGTTAGGGCCTAATGCCATTAATTTCCTTCATTTTAACTTGTTGACTAACAGATGATAGTGAGTGGTATTCACATAGAAAAACTTACAATATCACATACAATATCCAGCACTGAGAGCATGATGACTTCTTTTTTTTTTTAGTTTTATTTTTTCAAAATGACAATGATCACATACATATGATAAGGGTACAGACAGGTGACGAGTTACGGCTTGGTTAAACAATATTAAGATATATATTAACCACATTGAAGGTAACTGGACAACTACTTCATGTTAACCCATAATGACCCTCAAGAGTCAGACTAGAATCTAATTTCTCCTTAAATTATCACCCCTGAATCACTCATTACAAGGTCATGAGAATAAAGGAAATGGCCACCACCTAAATAAACTCTTGATTGTTAAACAAATTCTCCTTGTCAGCACCTTATATAATATGCATACTAATGTTAGGGTGCAAGTGGTTGATAGATATAAAAGCAGATAAAAATTATTGCTAAAAATGATTTTGCTGCAGGGTTTTGCTATAGGTAGGGGCAGCTGCCTGAGGTTGAACAATCTTGTTTTTAGCACTCGCACATTCTGGCATTTTGACTGAAAATTTCTACTGGTAAATGAATTCAAAATGCACATAATACTTAAAAAAAAAAAGTTGTGTATGATCAGATTCACAAAACCTGAAATGCTTTACATCAGAACACTAGTATGCATATTCTCCATACATTTCTTTACACATCTCCAAAGGTACTGACTAGGAGAATTTGTTTAACAATCAACAGCTTCTTTACTTGATGATCATTTCCTTTATTCTTGTGACCTTAATGTTCATTGAGGGGTGAAATTGTCTGAAGAAATTAGATGCCAATCACTCTTATGGATAAAAGGATTGACAAAAATTTGTAAACTTTCATTATCATTCATTTTATTTACGATAGCTGAACTTCTCTTGTGGGGTAGAGTGGGAAATTCTGAACAGTCAATCAACATTAACAACAAAACTTTGTGGATGTACCTGCACTTCCAGCATCAACAACAGTTGTAACACCCCTGGCCAAACATGTCTCGTCCACATTAACACCCAAGGGCGTGGCATACTGATAAACATGCACATGGCTGTCAATCAACCCAGGTGTTACAATATAGCCTGATGCGTCAAACTCCTCCAGCCCTGTTCCTTCAAGACCTCTAGCGACTGCGCAAATTCTTCCGCTTCTGACTCCAACATCTGCTATAAAGTCCCGCTCATTAGCTGGATCTATAACTCTACCATGACGAATAATCAAATCGAAGTGAGTACTTTCTGCCTCCGCCATTTGCTGGGTCGCATAGTAAGATTATTCTTAACCACGAATTGAGAGGTCCAGTTACCGAGTCTTGATCTTCGCGCAGAGATCTCTGGGATCGCGAGGGATACTCAATGCAGCTTGCTGAAATAATGTACTGTATTTTCGACGCCTAAAGAACGATTTTAGAGAGAGATCGTCAATTTTTCGTCTGTGTTTGTTTGTTTGTTTTTTTTCAGAAATAGAATTAGGCAATGTTGATAAGATGGAATTGTGAGTTTTTTTTTTGAATAACCATGAAAACTTTTATTAAAATATACCGATGAACTTCTCTTGTCGGGTTGTTCGCCTAATGACACTCTCAAAAGAAGTGGCGAGGTTTGAAATTGGATCAAATGTTAATTTTCGATCTTACTTACGGAATAATTTCTTGCTAGAGCTTCTCAAAGCCTCAAAACTTTGTAGTGCCCTTGTGTCCTTGTATTATTATATTTTTTCTCTGAAATTATCACGACACTTCAGTTCTCTGCGCCGAAATAAAAGGACTTCTGACTCTGAGCCCTTCGTTCTTCGTTGATATGCTTAAAATTGTCTTTGGAGGTTACTTCTTCAGCTTAATGAGTTTTTAGCTCATTTATTGTATTTATGTCTCTGCGGCTAGATTTTGCGCATGAAGCAGGAACTTGCTCTCTCGTGCAGTGTCACGCAGATTTGTCACGCAACGATCTGGTTAGAGGAAAAGACAAATGATTAACGGGGGTGGGTTTCTACAGAAACTGTGCTGCTGTCTCGGTGAGAGAGTATAACAAGATAATTTGGTTTTATCGACTGAGTTGATAATGTAAATGGGCTACCGTAAAAAGTTTCAAAGCTGACGTTTCAAGAGTTAGCCCTTCGTCAAAGCGAATAAAAGAACAGTTGTGCTGTGATTTTGCGTGGTGTGCACTGCTCGCCTCCTCTTCTCGTTCGCTATGCCTATTGTCAGGAATACTGAAAAATCCATTCGAAAAGAATACGAGAACAATGAGACAAATTGGAATCTATTTGATTGACATGAAGAACGGATAAATAAAGTGAAGAAAATTAATTGATCATGTGGTCTGATCATCCGGTTGAGAGTAGTCCTAAACACGACTTTTTTCGTTGACAATGACTGGCGTTTCAACAACCTGAGCTGAAGTAGTCAACAGAGTAAAGTTTGGTAACTAGAATTGACAAAATTCCTTCCCAGGACTACGCTCAACCGAACAATCGGACTCCATGGTCGTGTATTACCCCTATGCTCATGAAAAGGGAATATTAAACTATACGCTCCTGTTAATAGCAAATGTACTATCCTAGTCGTGTTTTTTTTTAAATTTCTTTTTCTAAAATTAAAGATAATGCTTCTATTAGCAGCGTATTTATGTACACACGTAAAGTTTTCATTAGCACTTATCCAACAATTATAGCGAAAAAAAAAAACACTTTTACTTAAATGCATGGATAAAAGATAAAGTTTTGTATAGTTTTCAGTTTCAGAATTTCCGGCTTTATGTTTCCATGCAATACCTGAAAATTTCTTGAATTGTTTGCCTTATCAGTAAACAATAGGTCTGGCAATATGCCTGACACCTGTATTTTTTTTTAATCAAATTGTTCGTCAGATTTCAGGTTAGAAGAAGAACAGGATATTCCTAATTCCAACCATTCAAAATGTTTCAAGGTTTTTTTGCAATAAAAATCTACCCAGGGGAAATTCTAGTCACTCTCTTCGATATCTCTTCGATCACCGCTTCGATATTATAATGAAAAGTTTTCTTCTGGTTGGAAAAGAGTTCCTAAAGGTTTCAGCTTAGTAACGAACATATGCGTACATATCCGTACTGTTACGTGGGCAAATTACGTTGAATAATTTTTGTTTACAATAGTTACAAAAGTCCCTTTCTTAAATCTACAAAATAGAACTAAAAAGTCTTTCTTTTAAAGGTAACTGTAGATTTTCAAAGGCCAAAGTATGCGAGGTCAAAGAACATTTTCTCAATAACCAATAGGAATGCACGCTTTTGCAGTCAATCAGCTGCTTATTGGCATCGTGCCGTTTATTTGGTCGTGCGTGCTTGCTGACCTCTAAAACAAATCTTTAAAATAATTAATTCTTCGGATTTGACGTCTTTTTAGCTTTACAGCGATGTATACTTTTCAAGGGTTTTATATTAGAGGCGACTCAGGCATGAACGTTTTACGCTGAAGGTCAACGATAATCTTGATCTTAGGCAATTGATATCTTAATAGATACGCAGACACCTCGAACATTGCCTTAAACATTAGCTTCGCCCGGCAATTCATCTTTTTCAGTAGCCGTGGTGGTGTCATTTGGTGCAGTCCGATACATTTTGGGGCAACACAGCAGTTTGCGGAATTCCTTTCGGAAATCGTTATTGTTGAAAGTGTAAATAAAGGGATTTATCGTCGAACTCAGAAAGCGGAAAAAGGTAACAAGCAATTCCACAATTCGCGGACATGTTTCTGGGGAGAAGCGTTTCCAAAGCCCAAGTGCCCAGAATGGAATCCAGCAACACAAAAACGCGGTGCCTACGTGGAGTAGCACTCGACTAATGTTTATTTCTTTCACCGTGCTTCCCCTTGCAGTGCTGTTGTTACCATTTGTCGAGTTCTGCAGCGATTGAACCACAATCTGCTGATGCTGACTGGTTTTGAAAAAGATCTTGTAATAGCTGAATATACCGATACACAACGGTATAAAAAAAAGCACTCCGACCATGATGGTGTACTGAACGATTTGACTTGCAGCAGTTGGGTATGTAAAGGCACACACTGCGTAGCCAGGGATAAATCCAATGTTTAGCCAACCGGTGAGTCGCCCAATTAACAGGTAAAGGGCCAGAGATATCCACAGGCAACACACCCAGATCTTAGATCGGCAAGGAGAAAATATCTTGTTGTAACTGTTACCTTTAACAATTCGCATATAGCGGTTGAATGCTGTTAAACCCATGGTTGCCGGGGTCACGTAGGTAGCGAACGGGCCAATGAATCCTTGAAGCTGGCATAAGGCGAAGCCGAAATCAAATCTTCCAATGATCAGTGTAGCTGATGCCAAAGGCATTTCAATCATTGCGACTGACAGATCACTGACAGCCAGAGCAATGATGTACACATTGGTGGTTGATCGCAGATCACGGTTTCTATACACTGCCAAACAGACGAGACTGTTTCCAATGATACTTAAGATGTTCAAGGCAAGGCAAACGCTCGATTCAGTTATAACAGCTGCCAAGCTTCGGTGCGGTAACTCCAGGTTAGACATCTTGTCTAGAAGAAAAGGCAGATGAAAAAAAACCATTTTAACTCATTCAAGTCCTTGTTCGATTTTTTTTATTTTATAAAATTATACGTATCCATCTTGCAATATTTAAAAACCTTCTGTTTGCGAAACACCGGCAAACTTTGTCGTTTGTGTGGAAATTGTATGTATGCTGTTTATTTGGAGTGACAAATTTATCCGCACCGTCAAACGAATATTGAAGAATTCCCGAAAACAATATGAGCACCATAGACAGTTCATTAGGCTTGGATAGGGCTTTGCTTGCAGATGTTGTGTCAGGAACTACCATCAACCGCTTAAATTAAGTCTTCATTTGAAGCAAGGCAAATTAAAGGGATGGTTGTTGCATTGTGAAAGAAATTGATTTTGTTGTGGTTCACTGATGGAGATGATTTGAGATCTAGCCACCCACAAGTCAGACATAACTAATCCCATTTGAAGATGTAAAAAAAGATCACCTATGCGGAAATTTTGATTCCTAGGCTGCGCTGAGAACATCCGAACCATTTGAGTGTTGGACATTTGGTTGGAGAAAATATGGGGACTCGAAGCTGTGTGAGTTTTAATGTAGTGGAGAATGGAGCGGTGCTTTATTAGATCACATGGTAACAGTGATGTATGACGAGATTAACTGAACACAAGAGAGGCTTTAGTTGATTCCAATGGGAACAACGGTGTTGATTTGAGAGATGTTTTTCTACTTAAATTTGTGACTTTCAAAGTTGTCTACGTCCTGATTGTTCAACTGCTGATGACAGTTTAGATAGGTAAGGTCATTCTTTGGAATCTCAAGGACAAGTCAGAGGTAAATATTAAAATTACATTGTTTCTGGAGCATAACACTTACCCTCTCATTTCGGTTTAATTTAAAAATTGCGACTTTTGTGACTTTCAACTAAGATGAAATTCTCTCGATCTAACTTCATCTGACTGTAAGACTTGAAGGATTGGAATATCTAAGTTTAATTCAACTGAACGTATTCAGTCACTGACTTGTCATCTTGCGATTTAAGTCAGTATTTAATTTCCTGAGCTAGCTTGAATGAATTTTCTTTGACTTACCGTTTCAACTTGATTACTAGGTAAACCAAAGGATACACTTTCACGCAAAGGAACAGGAATTTCTATCTAGTCACAAAGGCGGCTATAATTCAACCACTCACTATCTGTCTGTATCAGCATTAGTGAGAAATTGGATCAATTCCAGGTGAAACTCCATCAAACAAAGCTACTTCTATGGCTATTTATAGTTTTTGGTACATGTGCAGTTGCTTGAATTGATCGCTTTTGTTTCGCACCAAATAAGAACTCAGAGCGTTAAGTTCTAAATTTACCTTAATTCGAGGTCTATACATTTGCTCTATGTCTCTTTTTTTAAGTGAACGCCTATTAAGGATAAGAAGCTGAGCGCGAAAAACGTATTCGAACTAAACTAGGTGTGATTGATTTGAAAAGTGAAAATGAGGTTACTTTCGGTTCAATCATAGATTGAACCAAGCTTAAGTACAAGCCGGGTAAATGATATAGATAACTTTCTCGCTCAGGCTTTAAAAAAAAGAGAAATATCGTTACTTTAGGTTCCGTCGTAGATTGAGTCAATCATATATAAATATGCCAAGCTTAAGTACAAGCCGGGTAGCTGAGCGCGAGAAACGTATTCGAACTAAATTAGGTGTGATTGATTTGAAATGTGAAAATGAGGTTACTTTCGGTTCTATCGTAGATTGAACCAAGCTTAAGTACAAGCCGGGTAAATGATATAGATAACTTTCGCGCTCAGGCTTTAAAAAA